GACTAACTCCCTGACTAGCTGACAGGCTAACTCCCTGACTAGCTGACTGACTGGCGCCCTGCCCTGCCCTGCCCTGCCCTGCTGGGTCTCTCCCAGGCTGTCAGTGTGCGGAGCTCAGCCCTGGCACTGCACAGCCACAAGACTCACTTGCTGCAGTGGACAGTCTGACTCACCCAGCCTCTCTGTGAGCTTGTTCTTGTTGAGGAATGTTTGCTTTTCAGATTTTCCAGTCCCTCACGTGCCGGTATGGCCTCACAGTGGAGCCGGGCCAGCAGGGTGTGGACCAGCGCCCCCTAGCTACCACCCACGCAGGGCGCAGCCCAGCCCCGGTCTGCTGAGCCAGGCTTAGACCTCTGGACACTGTGGTCCTCTGCTCTCCTGTGGCCCTGTCACTGGTCATGTCTGCAGCAGGAGCAGAAAGAAAGGGCTCCTGTTTTATGTGCAATTTTTCCTTCTGAACTGCCACATGGACACACAGACAGAGACAAGCAGACAGACTGTCCTTACAGCACACATGCACTGTCAGGGTCAGGCTGTCCTGGACTGGACCGGACTGTCTGTTACCCAATCATCGACCAGGGCTCCTCTATCTTCAGTGCACAGCTGCCTCATGGCTACTCTGTATACAGTAGTTCAGGTGGGGAGCTGCATCAGCATGCGTAGGCTGCAAAGGAACAAGTAATAGGTTTATTCCAGGCTGAAAAGAGAAGAAAAACACGACGTTTCGGGCATCTTCAGGTGTGAAGACTGTTAGACTAACCCCTGAAGAAGGCTCCACGGCCGAAACATTGTGTTTTCTTTCTTCTCTTTTCAGCCTGGAGTAAACCCATTACTTGTTACTCTGTAGTAATACTGCTGTCTCAGGCTCAGGCACATGGGCAAGGGTTCGGCACCCGAGGAAGACAGAGTGACGGGCTTGTCGTCCGAGCACAAGCCCCTGAGAGAGGGTGTGTACGCAGGGAGTGCAGGAGCTCAGTCTTGAGACCGCACTGCCGTGTCGGATGTGGTTGGACCTGCTGCCCCTCCCCTGATCTCTGTCAGACCCGCGCCCTCGCCTCCCCCCTGCCCCCGGGCAGAATGTGCCTCACCCCCCTGAAGCCTGTGAAGAGGGATGGGTGGGCCCGAGGCTCAGGGGTCAAGATCAGGGCCTGGGAAGCACTGGAGCTGTTTGCCACGGTGAATTTCGCCCCACAGGTGACGTCAGTGGCACACCTGCTGAGCTCGGGGTGGAGGACTTTGTTGTTCAGGAATGGTTTTTGTTTGTATAGGGCAGTGCAGTGGTCAGCATTGCTGTCCTGCAGTGCTGGGGCCCTGGACCCACGTCCCAGGGTGCTGTCTGTGTGGAGTTTGCATGTTCTTCCCGTGTTCACACAAGTTTCCTCTGGGTGCTCCAGTTTCCTCCCTCAGTCCGAAGACACGCTGGTGGGCTGATTGGCTTCTGGGGTAATGGGCCCTGGTGCGAGTGTGTGTTTGTGTGTGTGTGACCTGCAATGGGCCCTGGTGCGAGTGTGTGTTTGTGTGTGTGTGACCTGCAATGGGC